TGAAAACAGAGCACCAGTGTGTGGGTCTGCCCCTTCTGACTTGTAGCTACACTTTGTGGGCCTACCTGGAACTGGATCTCTCCTCCCATAAGAATTCTCATCTGCCCACCCCTGCTCCTTCACCACTCTCCTGGGCTCAAAGGCCTTAAGCTTGGTTTCTGAGCTAAATATCTAGAAGTTCCTCATTCACACTTTCCAAGCCCTCGGTTTGGGGCTGGTCTGATCAGCAACTCACTTTGTGGCTAAAGCCATCCAGTCACAGCCTCCACATGTTCTGACAGGTGAGCAGTGATCTCCCCTCTTCCCAATCTCTGCCCCCCACCCCCAGGGAAGAGGAGGACAACAAATTCACAGGCCACCCACCTTGTTCTGACTGGAGTGACAGAAACTCAGAGACTCCAAAGTCCTTCCTTCCCATGCTAAGCCTACTTGTGTGGGGGCTGTGCCCCCACTTTCACAGCTCTGCTCATTCCCATCCCACCTGCTGAGAGTGAGGGGCAAGCCCTTGTGAGCCCTGGCCGGCTCCCAGGTCCAGGGCTGTTGACCAGGGCCTCCCTCACCCTCAGGGGCCAGAGCTCTGCATCGTCAGAGTCCTTTGCCAGAAGAGAGTTAAGGGCTTGGGTTTAATTTGCCCGTTAATCACAGTTAAAAGAAGTAATGAGCGTCTCCCCAAAGCCTGGGTGTTTCTCTGCAGATTAAGCAGCAATTTGCATAGCCCCTTATTCATTCCCACCTTCCCCTGTGGGGCGGCTTGTCCTTTCAGACACAGCCAAGCGCAGCCCTCGGCTGGAGCGCTTTGACAAATGGCTTTGCTGCCGCGTGGTTTGGGCGCGAGGGAGGGAGGGGAAGACAGGGAGGGAGAGGGCAGCTCCCGACAGTAATGGATAGCTGGGCCGTTAAATAGTGCAGAACTTTTTATTAGGCACACAGGAGAAGTTTAAATATTCAAACTGGTTTTCTTTGAGGCTTTCGGAATGAGTTGAGAGTGGTAGGCAGGATGAAGAGTTTACTCAGGGCCAGTTTCCTCAGAGAGGCCTGCCATCACCTGAGAGAAAGGGCATCTGGAGGACAGGGGCACCCCACCCGTGGTCAGCTGGCACCCTGGCTCCCCAGCCCTGGGGCAGGCCTGACACCTCCCGCTGGGCCTGGGAGCTGCCAGGCAGGACGCCAGCCTGGAAACAGCTCCTTGGGGCCTATTTCCTCAGGGTGCAGAACAGCTTGTTCAGAACCCAGCATATGGGCGGCACTCTGAAGTCCAGTCCGGGCTGACTCATTCTGGGAACAGCCCCCAGTCTAGAAGCAGTGATGTGGCCGGGAGGGTGGATGAAGGCCCCTCCCATCCCTCTCTCCAGATAGAGCCCTCAGCAACAGGGCAGGGGAGACTCACTGGGCAGTGGTAGCAAGGACTCCCATCTAACCAAAGGTCTGTTTTAAAAGTACTTAAGCGCAATTTTCTTCCCAAACATCTAGTGTTTTGCGGGGCTCTTCCTTGTGGCTAATTTGTGAGTCCCATGATTCTGTTTCAGAAGCCAGTCACTTGAGGGATCATACGAGAACTCAAGTTCAGAAGTTAAGGCTGAGGTCCAAAGGACGAGAATGAACAGCACACGCCCACTGCTCTTTAGCAGCTGTCTGGGACACAGAGGCTGGGATAGGATGGCATCCACCAGCACTCCAAAGGCATCTACAGTTTTGGGGGTGCTGTGGAGGGAGCAGGGACAAACTGCTGGGGCACCAACAGTATTCACAGAAATGTGTTTGGACGCATCTGAGCTGGGTCAGGAAGACTAGGAGGGGTTCGCTGGGAGGGGGACTGTGGGACCACATAGGGTTTAGTGTCTTAGGCAGCAGCCAAGCTGGAAAGGCAGGTGGACGTCCAAATAGTGAAGGCTAACCTGCTACACTAGGAACTTAGAAAGCTAAGGGAACACAGGGGCTCTAGGCAGGGGGATGATTAGGGCGAAGAAGCCCACAGCATCAAGGGAATGCTGGATCGGAGAAGAGTGGTGGAGCCTGGAGTGGGTTGGTGGAACAGGGAGACACACTGCAGGGATGAATGGTGGTATAGGGGCGGTATTGGGTTTGGTTTGGGGCATGTTGGGGGTGGTGGAACATCAGATGTGCCAGGACCAGGACCCAAGTTTCTGACCATGGTCAGATACCTCCAATTTTCTGAACTCATGACAGTTAACACCCGAGTCTCAGCACATCAAGCTACTGTACTCACCTACTCCAGCAACCTATCCAGATTGGCAGCATCTCTGCTCACATTTAATAGGTGGTGAAAATGAGGGCCAGGGACCTGCCCAAGGTCACAGAGGCAAGAACACAGCTGAGTTTGGCCAGGTAGCTCAGATCTCAAGAGATGCTAATCATAGCTGATGTCCCCCCAACCAGTACTCTCATGAGACTTTGTATGTGTATGTGCGGGAGAGGGGAGACGAAAAGCAGGAGAAATAAGGGGCAATTCAAAGAAAAATAATTAGTAAGGAGAGGCAGGTATGGCTGAAAAGGCAGAGGGCCACAGGGCCAGTGTTTCTAGGGGAGAAACGGAAACATCTGGGGATCTGATGTGGAGTGGCGCAGGGAGCGAGCAAGCAGCCAGCCCACCAGCTAGCTCCTGCTCCCGAAGGCCCGGAGCCTGCTTTTCTTGGGCCCTCAGCTCCAGGCCAGATCTTTGGAGCAGACAACTCTTTAGCTGGGCAGTGAGGTTCTGATGTCAGTGATGCAAAGAAACTCCTGGCCCAGTTGCGGCAGAAGCTGGTTCTAGACGTGTAGGGGCCCACGGCTCTCTGGGAGGCCCTTCGTGGGCTGCCAGAACCCAGATGAACAGTCGTTAGCACTCTGCTTCACAGGCTTCTGCGCCAGGACAGCCCGCTGTTGGCCCATCACCAGAGAGCTGTGTGCAGGGCAGGCTTCACTTGAGCAGAGATGGCGGGTGAGGCATGGGCCGTGGCTGCCTTAGCAGGGTAACAGGACTTTGGAGACGTATCTCTGCATCCCAGTGTGAAGTAGGGTCACAGATCTTGCTATAAAGTGAGAGCCTGGAATCTTCTCTGGACAGGGGTAGCGTAATCTAACATAAGAGGAGTGCGCTTTGGCAAAACAGTACAATCAAAGTAAAAATTCTGAGGGTGTAATCTTGGCCTACCTCCTGCCCCAAATAGTTACTTGGTTTTCTAGTGAAATCTAGCCAGATTTCAGACCAAGGCCTTGGTCTTCAAGCGCTCTGATCTTCAACCTTTTGCCTCTCCATTCCAAGGAAGCAAGAATCAGGAGTCCTTACCCTTGGTTCACAAGCCAAAAATAAGAACCCACATTTGCCTAGTGAGCGCTCTGTGCCAGGCGTCGTACTAAGAGCACAGCCCGCTGTAACTCATTTATTCCTTGCAACCTCTGGGGCAGTTCTGAGGAAAGCAAGAAGGAACCCACTGCAGAGTGAACTCGGGGAAACTGGGGAGCAGGTCTGTAAGACAGTGCTGCCCTCCCACGAGGTGAGCCAAACAAACTCGGTGTCTTGCGGCTTAGCCACACCTGAACCACTCCACTCACCCGGGTGACCAAAGCCTGCTAAGAAACCCTCCTGTCTAAAGCCACTTCCCCTGTGGTGGCAGCTAACCCTCAGCACGCTCACTCCCTCCCACTGGTCCTAGCAGGCTGGAGGCAGGCGAGGCGTTCCTGGGCAAGGGAAAGCGCAAGGGCTTTTGAGGACGAAGCCTGGCCTGCCATGATCACTGACGCACAAGGCCTCTCCTTAAAAGCTGCGCCTGTAAGCAAGAGTGTGAACAGCTGGTGACTGCATGAAGACACTGGAGCAGGCCAGGGTACCTGCCTTGGGGAGTTGATGGCCGCTGCCAGAGGGCCAGCAGAGCCAGCAGCTGACCAGGTGGGGCAGGAAGGCAGGAAGCCGCTCTCCCGAAGAACCAGGAGCCGCAGCCAGCGTCCCAGGCTGAGAGCCTGCACAGCGCCGGGGGCAGGACGTGGCCACTCGGGCCCGTTCTGCCTGATTCCAAGGACAGTTTCTCCTCGACCTTCCACACCCATACTTTCCCTTTTCCAATTCCTAGGCTTCTGACTTCAGCCCCCAGTCCCCCCAAAAGGAGGTGATCAGGCAAAGATTGGGGGGAAGCGATGGGCTGACATTAATTGATAGGAGCGGCTTCGAGCAGTTCATGCTGCCTTATCTCTCTCTCCTCTGGATAGCGTGTGTCCGCCGGAGTCCGCGGGGTCGGTGATTAATAGGGGCCATCACTCACTGTCCAGGACGGCTGAAAGGCAGTAGGGAGGGGGCGGCCCTCCCCAGAACTGAGATAACAAGCAGCAGGAATAATGAGTGGTGTCACTCCACTTTTCATTTTGATGGAAAGTCATTACGGGAGTCAACGCCAGCGACAAAGAGCCATGAATCAACTGCTCTGCTATGAAATTAAAATCGAATTGCTGGCCACCCCCAACCCCTACCCTTCCTGGGAAATGGGGATGGGTAGGTGGCTTGAGAGAGGGGTGCTAACCGGGGTGGGCTCTACCCAATCGCAGAGCAGGCAGTTATGGGTGGGAAGTGGACAGGCAGCGGGTGGAGGTGACAACTCCTGTCTCCACCTTGTTTATCAGACCCTTCCTCCCCAAACCGCATTTCCCCCTGCCTGGAGGTAAGCTGTGATTAAAAGGAAAATACAGCTTAGCTGGCTGCAACGAGGCTGCCACTTGACTGCGCCCCCTTGAGCTTCCAGCCAAGTGGGGCAGCGTGGGGCAGTTGTGGAGAGAAAGGGGGCCAGCTGATGCAGCAACCCGAGGTCCCCTGCTGAACCGTGTGTAGATACCGATACCAATCTGGAAGCCTCCCTGTCCCCAACCTGGGACTCCACAGCAACAGCTGATGGCCTGGGGAGCCCACTGGAGCTAGAGCCCTGTGGAAATGGGAACACCGACTAAACTTCAGGTTCACAAAGCAGCAGCAACTGTCAATAGTGAAGCAAGAGTCTCTTCCTCCTTTATTAAGTCCAACTAGATAACGAGAAGTGTTGAGGCTTCGGGCCACCGCGTTGTAAGGAGAGCCTCGGCGATGGTGCTCTGTTCATTGCCCAGCCTGGTTTCCTGCTAGGGAGGGCCCTATGACATCAGTTCTGGCTGCTCCCCCTCCCCCCACTGTCTTAAAGGCCGGAAGAAAGGTTCACAGAGAGGTCCCCATCAGATTCACGGGGCGCCCGCTGTACCTCTTGGAAATGTCAGCTTCAATCTGCAAGACAGTGGGAAAGTGTATGTAGATGTAGAGAGGTGAGGGGACCTTGTTCCGCAGGAACTGGGGTCCCCTGGGCAGGCTTCTCGTCTTACCAGCTTCTGCAGCTCCTTGGTCTTCTCTAGCAGCAGGTCCAGCTTTGGCTCCAGAGCTGCCTGCTCGTGCAGCGCTTCCTGCTGCTTCTGCACCATCAGCTCTTTCTTTAAGGCCAGCAGCTGAGACTGCTTCAGCTTCTGCTGGAGGAACTCGGTCACGCGGTCCACGTACCTGCACAGGGCACCCAGGTGAGAGTGTGGTGTGGCCACGCAACCTGAGCACTCGCACTCAGCTGCTGGGAAAGGCGAGGTCAGGAAACCAAATCCCCAGGAGGCTTCTCAGCCTCCACACCCTTCAGTCCTTTTTGGTAAGGCCCACTCCAGGCCCCGTCCTCGTGGGAGGCAGAGTCTGCCTTTGTACACCAAACCACCCATCTTGCCCAGAGCCGCTGTGCCCAGTTGGGACAGTGCTGAACAGGACTCAGGGATGACGTCTAAGGGATTACAGGGAGAGGAACAGGAATCGGGGCTGCTTGTGCCCAGAACAGCCTCTATCAAAGGGAAAGCAGACCTTGGTGAAGCCAGGATCATGAACAGGTGTTGCATTCGAAGACTGGTAAGCCGGCCAATCAGATCCTGTAGCACTGACGCCATGGTAACCATCTTCACCTGGGTCTGGCCCTGCAGGATGGCGGGAGCCAGCTGGAACTGGCTCACCGACAGGATGTCGGCCTCCTCACCCATCTCCACTGCTCTCTGGGACAAGAAGATCTCGAGCTGAGGACAGAAAAGAGTTTGGTTAAACTGAGAAAAGAATTCAGAGGCTAAGGCCCCAGAATGCTGAAACTGCGAGAAAGATGTACAGCCTCATCTCAGGGGAGGGTGATTTCCTCCGAACACCTTAACTGCTAGGCACTCACTAAAAATCGCAAACGTGGTGCAGCCTCCACTGTCACCCTTTGGCCCACTTTTCCCATCCCAGGCGCACCTGTTCTGGAGCCCCTTCCTTCCTCCAGATTCAAGCCATTGCTCTGCCCAGTGAGGGCATTTCCTTCCCAAGAGGCACATGAGTTTCAGGGACTAAGAAACCATGTTTGAGAAGCCCTAGATTAAGAAAAGGCTTGACAGGATCTCAGCACTATCTTGTCACTCTCAATCGACCAGAGAAACTTGACCGCTCCTGTCCTCTGCGGGAGACTAGGGGAAGACTTCTCTGGCTAGAAGGTTGAACTGGTAAGGATGGAGAACTTTCAGGAGGCCCTCCCCAGCCAGCAGGCCTCTGAGACGGAAATGCCTGCAGAGACTAGCAAGACAGCAGCAACTCTTCCAGTCCTTGGACAAAGGTCCAGGAACACTGGCTCCTTACTCTGGGCTACAGGGATATATTCAAATGCAAGTGGGGTCAGGCTGCTCGAAACCTCCAACAGCTTCCCATTTGCTCAGCATAAAAGCTCAAGTCCAGATTTTCTTCATTTCTCTGAATTCTTCTCTCCTTCCTCCAGCAACCTTAGCCAGGAGGTGCAGGGCACACTCCCTGTGGGGTTGCAGCTGCTCCTCAGCCGCCAGGCACCCCAGTCTCCTGGCTTACGGGCACCTTCCCTTCTTTCCCCACCAAAGTCCATGCCTGGCACACCGCATGTTTCACTTACAGGTCTTGTTTCTTGTCTGCCTTCCCTCCTAGAACTTCAGCTCCAGGAGGCCAGAAACTATGTCTTATTCCCTGCTCAAACTCTGATGCCTCCAACAGTGCCAGGCCCTCAGGAGGCACCTGAGAAAGAGTTGCTGAGTCAATGGGGACATCCTAATAGGTGAGGTCTCTGCTCCAGAACACACACGAAGTGTCATCTAGGCATCTAGAGGAAACTGCTGCGCTGGTACCAGGCCTCCCCCGCACCCCTGGGGGGGTGAAGATACCTCCATGAGCTCATCGATGAACTGATTCCGGGTCTCAGGGTATTCAAGGAGTGTCAGAGCATCAGGGCCCCTCGCAACACCTTCTGGAGCTGCCAGGAGAGAGACAGAAGCGATAAAGGCACGGAGGACTGCAGGGGAAGGCACTCAGCTTGAGAGCCCGGTGGGTGAATACAGACTTAGACTCACTGTATTAAAGCCACTACCTAACCCAACCCAGTGGGAAGAGTCACCGTTTCCATGTCTTGGGCCTGGCCAGGCACTACTGCCAACTTCCAGACTGAGCAGAACCACAGCTGGGTTCCCAGGAGGGGAAAGACTGCTGTCCACGCGCTGTGCGAGGAAGCGAAGTCTCATCCTGCACTGCCCTCTAGTGGCCCCGCTCACTGCTACAGCCTGCCTGCCGGTGGGGTTGGGGAGGCCTGATTTCAGGCCTGGTGGGGGGCCTCCTCCACCTCAACTAGAACAGCTGAGCCACGTTCTATACAGCAAGAGCAGTTCATAGACTTCATTTTAAGAAGTCTGTCTGCCTGCATTCATATCGTCATCAAAATTTTGAGAAAACAGTTCAGTGTGTAAGAACACTGTCTCAGCTATGTGGTATTCTCTTCACTTCTAGAGACACAGGGGCCCGAGCCCAGCCTGCAGGAGGATGGTGCGCTCACCCTGGGTTCCATCTTCCAGCACTGTGATCTGCAAGGCAGCACTGTCATCGCCCCAGTCTATCCCATCACTCCCTGCTTCCTGGGTGGAGAGCAAAGAGCCCAGCAATGTTGGGTGTGTTTTTCCTCAATAAAGGAGCCAGAATCAACCAAAGCCCGCGTATTTCAGCTGTATGAAGGCCTCAGATGTAGGGGACCAAGATGGCAGCATCGAGCTATGGATGTTGCCACCCTGACCCCTGCTTTATAGTTAACCCCCGTTTATTCCCCATACCTTGCCTCAAACTCCAGGAGAAGAGGCTAACACTGATACGTCACCTGGGAAACTCCCCCGGCCCAGGACTGCATGTGAGAGCCAGTACACGCAGAGGTGCCTTTGGAACAGTCACAGGAAGCAGTCACAGGAAGTCCTCAGGGAGATGGACCAGCATCCTCACCTTTGAGTCTGATTCCAGGGAGATGCCCCAGTCGATTCCAGCAGCCTGGGCAGAGAGGCCAGAGACTGTCCCTTCAGAAGCCACCTCCACCCCAAAGTCACCCCAGTCAATCTAGAAAGGAAAAAGAGTGTTAGCTTGCAGAAAGTGGGTGAGAAAGGGACCTGACTTCTCAGAGGCCTCAGCGGCATCACAGGGAACGCAGCACGCTGCTCACACGCAAGGCCCCACGCTCCCTAGGAGCTCATCTCCAGAAGCTCATGGCACTGAAGGTTTCCAGTCAGGGCCAGGCAACTTGCGGTGCCTCTTCAGCACTCACCTTACTCTGGCCTCAAGGTCAGGAAAACAAAGCGGACAGGCCTCTGCGCCCTCCACCTGCCGCGTCTCATAGCCCACCCAAGGGAATGACGTCCCCTTTCTTCCCTCTGGGACTCAATTCTGGTGGTGGTGGGGGGGCACATGTGAGGCGGAGGAAGCCGTACTCCACAGGGCCGTCTCACCGCATCTTCTTCTACGGGCTCTGGCGGCTCCTCGAGGTGCGGCCTCTCCACCTGGGAGGGCGCCGTCCCTGTCCTCCACTCGTACACGGTGCAGTTTCCCTGCCGCTGCACGAACCGCAGCATCGGCAACACCTCCTCCGTGGGGCTGCAACGAGCACGTGACTGACCCTCGTGAACCAGCGCTGGGCTTTGGCCTGGGCCATTACCCCAAATGGGCGAGGCTCCAGGGATGTTAGTGTGTAAAATAAAACTCCAATGTCATGTGGGAAAACTACAAGCAGAGGACAAATAGCCAGGGGAAACCCCCATTGCTAAAGAGAAACGGAGTCCTCTTACCTTTCACACACAAACCCCACACAGGCCTGGTACAGGTCAATGGCTTCCCCCAGAGTCTGAGCCCCCGCTCCAATCTCAGTCAGCTGACTGGGCAGGTCCTTCACCAGGGCCAGCAGTTCTCTGCGGACATTGTCTCCCTAGAGAGGATTGAAGAGGGAGGCCGAATAGTGGGAAGCAGGGCCCCACGGGTGGGAGAACTGCCCCCAACACTAGATGTGTGAGAAACTGGTCCTAGGGGCCCACTGCCAGGCCGAGGAGCTTCCCAGGAGCAAAGGAGTCGGCCCAGCAGACAAGAGGCCCAGGCGTCCGTCCCCACCGCCGCGAGGCCCCTTGCGCACCGCGATGCCGTACTGCTTGCACGACTGGGAGAACTGCTCCCGCATCCCGGTGGCGCCGGCCTGGCCCTCCTCCTCCTTGCGGCTGTATTCTTGCTGCAGCTGCTGGCACTTGGCGATCTGCCTCTTCAGCGAGGGGATCTCGTAGTTGACATTCCGAACCAGGAGGCTAGAGAGTTCCACTGAGAAGGGCCCAGGAAATCCCTCCTCAACACCCACTCCAGAGGCGGGCATACCCCAGGACATGTACAAATGGACACCAGCATGGTGTCAGCGGGCAGAGGGCTGGCCCCCCTGCGCCTCCCCTTGCCAGCTGTGGAGCCTCAGTTGGTCATGTCGCCTCTCTAATCCAATCCTCATCTGTAAAGCGGGGGGAGTAACATACACTTGCTCAGGCCACCAAATGCCCCTCTGCCTCCCAATACTCTGTGGAGTCATTTCCCACCTTGCAAACATCTAGGCCCTGCCTCTTCCCTACAGTCTAGTGTCTCAGAACTCTGGAGTGGGCTTCCCCTGGACGCCGAGAGTCCCAGGCCCGGGCACTTTACCTAAGTAGGTGTTGTCCTTCTCATACAGGGCTACAATCTCCTGCCAATCCTAAGCAGGGACAGAAACAGGAAGTGAGCCAAAAAAGCACTCAGCAGCCACATCCCAGTTCAACTCCCATCAAGTTCTCCCATCAAACTCAAACTCCTTGTACTCCTTGCGGTGCTGGCTGGACCACCCACTTAATTCTAGAGTGTGGCACCAATGAGCCATCTCCAAAGTCCCAGCTCTGAAAATGTAAACTTGGGGGTAGGCTCTACTTTTGGTGTAAACTGTGGTGACGGAGAGAAAGTGGATAGTCTACGTAGGCGCGTCCATGGGATCTCAAGGCAGCAGAGCGCCTCTTACCTCTTGGGTGCCCATTACCACCTCGCCACACTTGCCTTCATTCGCTGTGAAGAGTACCGGCCAAAAATATTTTTTGTGGAAGCCTCAGTGCCTTTGAGAATGTCCACGATTCGGAGGCAGTGATAGTAGTGAATGTCTGGAAAGGAAGAGCAAAGGGTGAGAATGACAGTATCTGGCCCATCACTTTGGCCAACAGACATGGTTGGCTCACACTGCCAGTCATTTGTGCTGAGAAAAACCAACAACTATACCCCAAACAAAAATCTCTCCTTTAGGAGTCAGCCTGTGGTTAAAAAACTAGGGAGCAGCTCAGCTGATAGACTGCTCCAGGAAAGAAGGGGCGCCAGGAACGTAGCTCCAAAGCACTCACAGGATCCAGAGAGCAGCTGGGCAATCTCTTCGTTCTCTGGCATGTCCTGGATGGCAGCATTGATCTTCTCCCGGATGGTCAACACCAGATTCTGCCATTTTAGGTTACAGTGCCTTCTGTCCACCAGCCAGTCTACGGGAGAAATTCCCAACTGACACGACCAACATCCCGTAGAATAAGCTAAGCCTGGCTAAGTGGTATTAGTATTAGTTAAGGGGTGGGAGTCATGGGAACATGGGAATAAAGACAGGCCCAAAGGAGTATTTGGGGCAAAGCAGACTCCAGCAGGCTGACTTCATCTGTAGTGTGACTTTTACAGAGCAACTGTTTCAACACAAGGATAAAGAAAAACTTCCAATTGGTCCTGACATCAAAGTGCCACTTTTGACCACTCTAAATTCTCCATAATATTTTTGCTTCCATGCGTAATTATATCTTTCTCACTGACAGAGGATGCTGTTCAACTTCCACTTCCTCAGGGCTGGGATTAACCATGACAATGGAAAATATAAGATGGCTATGCCAAGTGCTGGATGAATGAACAACTTCAAAGCCCCTAATACCTGCAGCGCCCTAAGGACTAGATAACAGGTCTATTCTTAGCAAAGAAGTACCACCCTCACCATGAGCACTGATGTGATGACCTCCTGCAATCTGGGCCCAGATTTGTGTTTTTAGAAGAGGGCATGGGAGGATATAATTTTTTTTCAGTAGGAATGAGCTAAGAGTTAGGTCTTGTGGCCCCACTATCCTGGGCTCAAATTATCAAATTCTTGAGCAAGTCTCTCACCCTCCATGTGCTCACAGGTTATGTGGGAAATCAAATGCAAGAGAGTAAGCAGGAAAAATGTGCACACTGCTAGCATATAGCCAGGACCCCGTGCATCCTAGGGAACTTCACGTTGTAACAGCAAGTGTCTACACTGAGTGGTGGTTGTTTTATTGGTTTTTATGACTGGCATGGAGCATCTACACCACTGCATATGTGCCCAAGAGCCACGATAAACCCAAAGGGAGGCAAAGTTAGCACCACTGGTGGGCACGTCAAAGACTGACGTGAAATGGTGAATTCAGAACCTAACAATTTGCCAGTTCATCAACACAGGGGCATCACACTACTTATTGTACATATTCCTGTATGTATGCCTCTACAATTTTTAGAAAGAAAAATCCTGTAAATGTCATAAGACAAAAATCTAAGGGCTGAGGTAGAAATTATCTGAATGACAAAATCAAATCAATTAATTCATTAAGCATCTAAAAATCCGAGAGCTGTGCGCCTGCCTTGGAGGTGTGAGAACACTTACTTCCCTGGCTCTGAACTTGAGAGGGGGTTGGGGGGCCTACATAGACCCGGGTTATTGAAAGATCTGTGTTTCCAACAGGTCTGTGTCTCTCATCTTCCTTAAATAACATAAGGGAAGTGGAAGTTTTTTAAAAGGAGGGAAAGGCTTTTCCTATATAATGCAAAGAACATGGACACTGGAACCAGACTTAAGTTCTAACTTCAGATCTGCCCACTCAGTAGATGACCGCTTTTAAGTGAGCCATTATCCTCTCTGCACCTCAAAGTCATCATGTGACAACACATTACGAAGGTTGAAAACGCAGGTCAAGTAAAGCTCCTCAGAGTGAGGCCAGTCCAGGTGGGGAGTTCCCAGAGCGTGGCCAGCGCCCCCACTGGGGCCTGGGGCGTCAGGGACCCCAGCGGGGGGGTGCTAGGAGCCGGGTCTCCCCCGATTGCGGCAGCGCGGGGGCGCCCGTCCTACCGAGCAGCTTGCTGGTCTGGATGTCGATGGGCACGTGCTGATGGTCCTGGCGGGAAACACCGCGGGGAGCCAGGCGTGAGCGCGGGGAGGAGAGTCGCCGCTCGCGCGCTCATTTCACCGTTTCGCGGGAAGACACGGGCGGATCGGGACGGCCTCTCCCGGGAGAGAAGCCGGGGGAGAGGGTCAGGAGCGGCCGCGAGGAACCGAACCCAGGGGTCCCGAGCCAGCCCCACACCCCCGCGCCAATCCCCCCACCTGCATCTTTCCTCCACTTCCGCTTCCGGACGGCGACCCAAGGCCCGCCCCGCCTACCACCAATTCAGCGCCGGAGGCTGAGCGTGGGCGCAGGCACGCCGCGGCCTACACCCGCCACGTCGCCGCCCTCGCCGAGCCAATCCAGGCGAGGGCTCCGCCCCGGACCTCTAGCCCCACCCATCGGAAACGCGGAAGGGGCGGGAGGACAGGATGCAGCCAATGGGAGGCACGAGGCGGGCCCAGCGCCGGAGAGGGGCGGGGCGCCGCGAAAGGCTACTGTGGCTATGAGCTCGCGGCAGGCGGCGCCCGAGAGCCGGCCGCGTGGTTCCCGCCGGGTCCGACGCGTAGGTCTGGGCGCTAAGCAAGGCGTCAGCGGGCGGGTCTTAGCGCCCAGCTGGGCCACCCGCGAGCGACTGGAAGTGCTTCTCGCGCTTTACCGTCCATCGTAACTTGAAGATCCCTGCCACTTGACGCATTCGCCTCCCCATTCAGCTTTACAGTAGACTCGTGCTGAGCCCCCTGCTTCTGGGGTGATCAAAGCTGGGAGGTGGGCCAGGAGTGCATCCCAAAGACAGTATCAAAATTGAGCTTAAGGGATGAACTGGAGAAAGGGGTGAGGTGAGAGGAGGTGAAGGAGACTGCAGATAAAGGTTGGAGACTAGACACGGCAGGAGGGGTGGAGGAACCACGACAGGCAGCAACGGCAGTCCAGTGCCAGTGAAGGTGATCAAGAATTTTCAGAGGGCGCTGAATAGTTCTCACCATGAAGCCTGCTGCCTTGCAGCCCAAGGGGGTGGGGGGTGGGGTCTCTATGTGGTGAAATGTGTCAGGCCGGGAGTAGCCAGAGAAGACTTTAAACGGAGAACCTCTTGGCCCTCTCTGGTGGCACAGCGGGGTTAGAGTGAAGCCCTGCAAGCTGGCTGCAGCCGCTTCTGTGCGAGCTCAATCCCCAGCCCTGGAGGTGACCCACATGGCGTAACTGACCTCTCCTGACCTTGCCACTGGTCCCCTGGTCAATCCACCTGTTCTGCTCCCCACTCCGTCTCTGATGAATCCTCTCACTGCACCTCTGGCTTGTACTCCTAGTTCTGTATTCTTAAATAAATAAATTTTAAAAATGAACTCAACTTCAATGTGGAAGAGAGTAGAACCGCTGAAGGGTTTTAAGAGCTTGAGGCAGCTTGAGGGACCTGAGCAGACTGGCTGCAAAGAAGACAGGAAAACCCCCAGGAGCTAATTTGCAGAGGTCAGGGCTTGACCTGGGACCCAGGCACCAGGAGGAGAGAAGGGGCTGGATTTCAGGGATGGTTTTGGAGGAAAATGGACAGGACTTGACTATTAATCAACTGTGGAGATGGGGAAGAGAGACAGCAAGGATGGCAACGAGGTGGTTGGGTGGGAGACCCACTGCCTGAGATAGGGAGGCAGGGTGCTGAACAGGTGTTGGGGAAAGAGGGACCTCAGCTTTGAACTTGTAGAGATGCCAGTGCTGGGAGACCCCCTGTGTGGAAAGCTTCAGAAGACCCTTGGGCCCATACTTCTGAAGTTTCAGGAGCTCTAGGCATAGGTTGACAGCTTTGGAGAGCCACAGCTGGCTGAAAGTGGGGGAGGCATGAAGTAGGTATAGGTATAGTAGGAGAGATGGTCGGCAGAGCACTGGTCTGCAGGTTCCCACGGTGTGGGGCTGCCATCCGTGCCACCCTCCTTCTGGGTCATTGGCTCCTTCAGGAGACTGGTTCTTTTACTTTTTATCTTTTTTAAAGATTTATTTATTCATGCAAACAGAATTGGGGTACAGCCAGAGGTGCAGGGGGTGAGAGGATTCACCAGAGACAGAGTGGGGAGCAGAACAGGCAGCTCAAGGAAGTATACTGCTGAGGGGAGCAGCAGGTGAAAGAGAAGTCAGCTGAGCCATGTGGGTCACCTCTGGGGTGGGGATAGAACTGGTGCCAGAGTGGCTAAGGCTAGCTTTGCAGTGCTGCGCTCTAACCCGTTGCGCCACTAGGGAGGATCCAACTCTGGTTATTTATTTATTTATTTTTAAAGATTTAT